TAAATAAAATAAAAAGCCAGCTGGACCTAGGCAAATGACTTTCCTTTTCTAGGGTTCAGTTTTTCTCTCTGTAGTTTAGGACATTCAATAAACTGGTATTTATTTGCTTATTTAATTTTTTGTAGTACTGGGGATTGAACTCAGGACCTTTGCAATGAGCTATACCCTCAGACCGTTTTTTTTTTTTATTGAGACAAAGTCATAAGTACTAAAGTTGCTCGGGTTGGTCTTGAACTTGCAGTCCTCCATCTCGCCTCCCAAGTGCTGGGATTAAAGGCCTGTGGCTCCATGCTCAACTAACAAGTTGACGTTTAAAGTTCTTTATCAGGTTTTGATAATACAGTGCTACAGACTGGAGGCTTTAAACAACAGAAATTTATCTCTCACAGTTCTGAAGGCTAGGATTTCGAGATCAAGGTGATGGCAAAGGTATGTTTTATTCTGAAGCCTTTTCCCTTGGCTTGTAGGTGGCTGTCCTCTCTCTGTGTGTTCACATCCCCTCTTTGTGTGTGCTAAGGAGAGGGAAGAAGGTGGAGAGAGAGAAAGAATGAGAGAGAGAGAAAGAACACAAGCACACAAGTTCTCATGTATCTCCTTTTATATAAGGGTATTAATGCACATTCCTAGGGTCTAACCTTCATGCCCTCATCTAACTATAATTTCTAGAGCTTTCAACATAGGGATTTTGGAGGAAACCAGCATTTAGTCCTTAATCCTTGAAATTGATCTGAAGTTTAGAGAAAGGCCTACAAGATATATGGTAGTACTAAATACTTGCTAAATGTCAGTTGTTAGGTAATTTAATAGCTCTTTGAAACCAAGGTATCTGTACATGAAAAAAAGTAAGCACATATAATAAACTATTTGAAGCAAACAGATGAGTGTTTTAAATCTAAACTATTTTGGGCCAGATGTGTGGTACACACCTGTAATCTCGGCGCTTTGGGAGGCTGAGGCAGGAAGATCATTAGTTCAAGCCAAAACTGGGCAACTTAGTGATTTAGACCCTGTCTCAAAGAGGGGAGGGTTGCTGGGGATGTAGCTCAGTGCATAGGCCCTGGATTCATCAGTACCAAAAGAAAAAAATTGGGGGGTATTTTGTTAAACTTTACATTTAAGTATTGATTGTCTCTGATATATATTTGATAATTCTGTTTGTATTCATCTGATCCCAGAGATGATACATCCAATAAATTCAGAAATTTATATCATATTATTTAATCCACTTCCCTTTTATATATAGAAAGATCAAGACGGGTCCAAAGAAAAATTGTGATAACCTGAAGGATCACTCATAGCTGACCTAATTTACCACTAATTCCCCAGGCTTTGAGATATCTGAGTTCTTATGCCACACAGAGATCACACTTGAGTCTAATAAGTGGGTCGGCCCTTTTGTACCCTCTGCCTCTGTGGGCTGCTAGCAATTTGTCCCAGTAACTGCTTAGTTCATCCTGTGATGAACTTGAAATATGTTAAACATGCTAGGAAAGTGCTTGAGGTGTAATAGATACTTATTAAGGTTGGTTTCCCTTCCATACATTTCTTAGAAGTAGCTTTTTTTTTTTTTTTTTTAGAAGTAGCTTTTTGAGATAGGGACTCGCTATGTGTTTAGCCTGGCCTTGAACTCACTATGTATTCCAGGCTAATTTTGAACTCACAGTCCTGCTTCAGCCTCCTGAGTGCTGAGATTACAGGCGTGCGCCACCATACCCGGTGTTTAGAAGCAGTTTGACAACACAGAGCGAATCAGTGGTGTAGACCCTACCTATTGGGTTGTGAATATTAAGTGAAAAATAAAAGTAAAGCAGCTTAGCGTGATTCCTACCACACATCAATGTCAAATAAATACTCTTTCCTCCAAGGGCCCTTCTTCCCTTTGGAGCTAATATGTTTAATTGTTCAGGATTTTACCTCTCTGTGCCACCAAGTGAATAATATATTCATTGAAAGGCATTCTAGGAGTGATTAAATGAGTGAAGAGAGAAGGTGAGGAATGGGTAGATGAGTGAGACCATTTGGAACAGGTGGGCCTTTCAAAACTTCTTTTTAAAAAATCATATTTCTTCCTTAGTGTTTAGCCAGGGCTTGTGCTGCAGCACCTTTTTCTTTAGTTAGTCAAGGAATGAGGACTAGATCTCATGATGCCAGATCTTCAGATGTCCTTTTATGATATGTTTCAGCAGAGGCTAAGAATACCCCTCAGATTCAGATTTAGTTTTTTTTGTTGTTGTTGTTTTTGGTATTGGGCACTGAACTTAGGACCTTCACACCGAGCTACATCACCAGTCGTTTTCTTTGTTTTTTTTAAATTTTGAGACAGGGTCTTGCTAAGTTCACCAGGCTGAGCTCAAACTTTGATCTTCCTGCCTCAGCCTCCCAGAATGCTAGGATTGTAGGCAGGGACCATCATCCCCAGCTGATCATTATCTTTTTAGTGGTAATTATTCAGTAATAAATGTAGGTACGATAGGGGAAATGTTAATGTGGATGTATCTGCATGGAAAACAAATGAGCAAGGATATCTACACTTTGCTTCACTGGAGCTGAGTGCCAAGGCATTATTTCAAGTGATATCAGAGACTCAAGAGCAGGTCCCCAAATGATCATGCATTAGGAAGTTGGTGGCATTCAGTTTCATGACAGTTATTGTGTGTTGGATTTGGGCCATTTACTGACCAGTTAGGAAGCAGTGGGCTAAGATTTTATAACTGGTTTTCACCTTGCATGTTCCAGATTTACTTCCTTTGATCTGTGAGTCATGTTTATTTTCCTTGCTATAAGTTAACAGTGCTATACACAGTGGCATTTTAAAGTTTGATGTTGGGTAATACTTTAGTTTATCTGATTTGAATTTAGTGTATACTGGAACTGACAGTATAATATAAAAACTACAGTGAACCAGTTATTTTTGCTAATCTAGAAAACATTTGATTTTCAATTTACTTCTTGAACCTTTTTATTATTAGGTAAGTGAGTATATTAGCATCTAGCGTACCTAATATGACTATAGAAATGTTGACCAGAGCAATGTTGCTTTCTCTGGTTAACTCCAAAGAGCTTTGGTCTTTCAATCATTTTAAGAAAGTTCTATACACATGAGGACAAGAAGAAATGTACAATGACTTTAGAAAATAATTACAGCTTCATTCTTTATATTAGGTAGTTTAACAGTACAACATTGGGCTGGGGATTTAGCTCAGTGGTTCCTTTGCCTGCCTAGCAAGCGCAAGGTCCCCAGTTTGATCCCGGGTACCCCCCAAAAAAACCAAACCAAACAGTACAGTACAAGGCTGACTAACCTGTCTGAGCAAGTTTTGGGGTTTTTTTGGTCCCTTGTGAAAGTTAAAGGAGCTATAAACTAGTATTTAAAATAGCAAGCTAAAAGAAAACAAAGCAAGCTAACTTCTCCTATCAGTCCTTTTATATTTCAGTTGTAGGGATATGCATATACCAGATGGGCAAGGCTGGTCTTTTGTAATGGTATGAATTAAAAGGTCTTTACTTTTGGTCATACAATAAATTGACAAACAACTTAAAAGAGTTAAATCCACATGCAAATATGTATATATAGGGCAAATATTCTTTTCATATCAATCACAGAATGTTCTACTCATTGGAACCAGACACTAATTTTTTCCACAATATTTTAAATCCAAAGGATTCATTCTTTAGATTGAGCACTTAAGCTTTGTAAAATGAAAAAATGTACCTAGTTTCACAGTTTGTTTTACCTAATGAATGGGAAATTTTCATTTTTATGGGAAAAGACAGGATAGCCATATCATTAGGGATGAACTAAAAAAATATTTTTCTTGAGACAGTGACTTTTTTAAGGCAGAGTTGACAGAAAAATTAAAGCTTGGGTTTGTATCTCAAATATTAAGTTTGATTTTCTCTAAAGAATATTTAAGAAAAAATATTTTCTCTAAAGAATATTTAAGAAAGAATATTTAAATAGTTCTTATTTGAAGATTGTAATAAACTTTTAGCATGGGTATACAGTTGAAATATTTTCTAGATTGATTAATCATATAATGGCAACATGAAAATATTGTAGCTTGTTTTTAGTTATGTTTTTGGTGATGTAAGGAAGACAAACTTAGGTTATAGGTTATTAATCATGTTACAGTGATACTAGACTCTACTTCCCTTGAGATCATAAATAGATTAGGGATTATGCTTTTGAATTTTCTTATTAGAATAGTAAAATCTGTTTGGTTTTTATATGCCAGTAACTGAATATAGATGGTGAAAAGCCTTTTTACACCTTTAAAAAATTTACCATGCATAAACTTTTCAGTGTCTACTTTTCATGCTTATGTTTTCTTATAGTACACAATACCAGTAGCAACTATTGACTTTGCCAAAAACAAAAAGTAATTATCAAATTGAAGTAAGTTTTAACTGTTACTGTGTTCTTTTTAGCTTACTTTACCCAGAGCTCTTCCATCCAGTGAGTTGCAAGCGTGACATTTGCTGTGTTTTTAACACCTGCCAACTTGGAAACCAGGGTTTGTGCTCAGGACATAGGCTTACAACCCGCACTTTGTGGTGCACAATGCCGTCCCAGCTGGCATGCTTTCGTACCTCAATGGTGCTAGACATTCAGTTACAAAGCTGGTGCAGCTTCACATGCACTGATTTCAATAGTCATTCCTCTTCAAGTTGCTTTCAACTCTTACTTTGTATCAAAGGAGTGAGATTGGTATCATTAAATTCACTACTGTGGTTATTTTTCAATGAAAATAAATGTTTTATTTCTTGAATCAAAAAGTAACTTCATCTTCAAGAGACAAAGTGCCTTTTAAAAAAGGTTAAAGTATCTCTAGTGTGAACAACAAAAAAAGTATCTCTAGTGTGTTTCTTATATATGTGTATAAAATACATGTATAAATATATGTGTAATTCTAGCTAGAGCTATTCCTCACTGTCATCAGTGGATAAAAAGAACAGATAGGAAAGAACAGAAGGAGTAGTGTGCCATAACTGCTTAGTAGGTAGGGCTATTATAGGTAGGCATAGATGTTGGGAAAATGATAGAATTTATTTTTCTGAATAAGATCCACACATGAAAATTATCCCTATGTTAGGATTATATTTTTGCTTCCTAGCTATAACCAGGAACTTTCCACATTTTCTAAAGAAGTGTGTTCTGCTAACTTATTTTCAAAGTTATTTGAAAAACAACTTCAGGTGGATTTGGTGATGTCTGTCTTCCCATAATCTATTATACGCAATTTTAAAAGGTTTTGCTCGAAAAAAAGATCTTTTCAGATGTAGAAAGAACAGTGTGAAATGTGAATGACTGGCTTTTAATACAACAGTTGTGACAAAGAGGCAGTGGCTTTTGGGAGCTGAATAAAGGGGTTAATACACATGCATCTGCATATTGCTGTTGGGCCCAGTGTATAACATGTTTGACATTTGTTTAGTTCACTTTGTTAGTCTACAAAGAATAGTATGTTATTCTCTCAAGCCAGTTCATAATTTTTTAGTGGTGAATTCTTAGGTACAATAGATTTGATGGGAGAAACTGAATGTTTACTGATACTTGCTGAAACTTCAAAGCTTAGCTCTTTGTAGTTTGAACATCACATTTATCAGATTCTAAAGGCAAAAAAATAAAATACCCACTAACTGCTGGGGGACACTCCTTAGTGCATATCAAAACCCAACCTTTACCCTCCTCTATATAAATGTGCTTAGGTAAATACTTTTATTAGCTTGTTGATACAAGTTATAGTTGGCTACACCCTTTCTTAATAAAATACACCCTTTATTGTCTCCTGTTGCTTAAGAGCTTTAAACTTGGAATGGGGGAGTCTCTAATACAGAATGATACACAATTTAAATCTCTGGCAGTTTTGAGTGGATATATGATGCATACCATGCACACAAGCATTCCTCTATTTGGTAGTCCTCCTTTGGGGGACGCTAAGAGAGCCAGTATTTCTGTGCTTTATCACTGGGTTTCATATATTGCTCTTAGAGTATGAGACTAAAAGTAATCCCTGCATTTTATATTTCCTGGGATGTTCTTTGAAGATAACAGAAAAGGTGTAAGTGATCACTTTTAGATTATTTATGGATGTATTCCTAAATTGGCCTGTGAATTTGTGTTTAGGTGTCTGGTTGTGCTCTAAATCTGGTTCTGATTTGGTTGACTGTTTAGGATTTAGCTTCCCTTCCCCCCAACTGTAGCTTGCAGTTTGAAATTCCGAGTTTGCCTGGTTAATATCTACTATTCTGAACTGACCCAAGCTTTAGTAGAACAACTTTTTGGGGAGGACTTTTTATAACAAAGAACCATGAAATTTAGCACTAAGAAGTGAGTGTTTTATAAGACTTATTACACTTCATGTGGAAATAGCCTACAGTATGGAAGACTAAGTGATACAGGCCTTAATGTACATATTTTTAGCTTTTGAAGATTCAAATTTGGAAAATGAGAAATAGCTATTCATTGGTTAGTAGCAGCCCCTTAAGCAGGAATTGTAGTTCTAGACACTATCAAGAAAGCCTCAGAACCAGAAAAACAGGCTGCTTTGGGTCCAAAAGGAGGTGTAACAGCAAAGTAGCTACCCATAACTATCATCCTTGAGATTTTCAGAGACCCAAATAGTCCTGAAAGCAAGAAGCATAATGGTTGCAGTAATTGTTTCCAGACCTGGGACCCCTGCATGTTGTTTTTTAAATTGACCCAATGAACTAGTAATTGCAGGAATAAACTGAATGTTTGCCAGCAGGAGTCACTCTAGGCCTCCTAATAAAAAATTAGTAGGACTGGGGATTTAGCTTAGTGGTTCTACTGCCTGCCTTGCAAGCGCAAGGACATGAGTTCGATCCCCGGTCCCCCCACCCCCCAAAATTAGTAAATTAAACTATATCCTGAAAGCTCTCAAAGACTGAAGGGATAGATACTGTGGTAAGATACCTTTAGGGAAATGCTGATGCTTTTCCTTAAGTGTAGTAGTCCTCAGATTTTCCCTTGTTTCGTCCTTTGTTCATTTTTGGTTCTTGTTCCTTTAAAAAAAGTAATGTATATGGGTAAGGATATCAGTATCTTAATATTCTGTATATTAGCTCATTTTGGCTTCCTTGGGATGAACTGATTATATCCCACATCATGTACCCGAAATGAATAGACTCACATCCTGCTGATTGTTGTTCACCCTAATCTTGTAGCAGAATCACAGGGGAGTGCTGTAGTTAGTATGAAAGGAGATGTTGGTTCATGCTTTTCTGAAAAGAATAGGGTCAGTGTGATGACAAACTGAAATATTTCAGCAATACATGAAATATAATAGTTTCCCAAGTGCACAAAAGCTCAAGAAGTTAATTGTTCATTTATATTTGATTCTGGGATTGAAACATTGGATTAAAACCAATTAAAGCTTCCTAGAAGCAACAGAAAAAGTTTCCTGATTTATGAATAGAACCATTCAAATGGCGTAGACACAATCCATGTAAAGTAATGAGGTGTTTTGTTTTTTTGGCAAAGGAGAACACAAAACAGGCATAGGGAATTCTTTTCTAAAACCTTTTAAAATCTTTTTGGATACAAGATCAATAAAATAACATACATCAGAAAAAAGGAGTAATGGGAAATCTAAGGCTTCACTTAACAAGGAAAACAGTCCCCTCCCCCAGGTGAGCTGCACAATGAAAACACTCTGCTTATTCTATCAGGGTTACATTCCTGAACTTAAGTCAACATCCTAAGTTACAGAGCTAAACATGCTCTGCCTCTGCTTAGCAACCACAAATCCTTCCTCCGCCAGTTGCATGTATTTTGGATGTGGCTTCTGAAGTACACATTCCTTTATTTTGATCGCGCCCGAGTTAGGAAACCAGCGCGTTATTTTCCCAAGTGTGACAGCACTTCAAGGTCCCTCCTCCCTTGCCATTCCTGCAGGGCACTGAAATGATCATTTCTTTCAATCCTCAACACCTAACAACCCGGAAGCTAGAAGTTTGAAGCCCACGCGGCCAAGGGTTTTCGTCCAGGCTTGTGCTGGGGACAGGGAGAGAAGTCCGTGGGGGTCTTGGCCAGGGTCCCGGCCAGCCGCGGTGGAGGCGCGGCCCGGGCCCGGGGCCACTTCCCGCGTCCCCGGGCCTCGCAGGCGCGAGCTGGGCGACCAGCGCGCGGCTCAGTTCTCAGGACGCCCTCTAGCCCCGCCGGCGGCGCGCCGCGACCCCCCCACTCCCCGCCCACAGGCGGCTACGCGCACTGCACACTCGCCTGCCGCCGTAGCTGCACGCCGCCGGGCTCCTGCACGCCGGCGCCGCCGCCGAGCGCCCGGGCCCGCGACGCCGTCCGCCGAGCGCCGGGTCGAGTTCACGCAGCCGTGGTCTGGCGGCCTCGCGGCGGCGGCGGACCAAAACGGCCTGATTGGGGCGGGTTAAAGGGACGAGTTGCAAACAGTTCAGGAAGTGACAAGCCGATTTCCTCCTCCCCGGGAGCCGCTCGGTACAAAGCGCTCGGCGCCGGCAGGAGAGCGTGCGCGCGGCGGACGCGCGGCGGGCAGCCCGGACGACTTGGCGAGCGCCGGCAGTGACGGCGCGGGGCCCGCGCCCGGAGCGCCCCGCCGCGCACAGTAAGCGACCCAGGGTCGGGCGGCGGCGACAGCTGCCTGGGTCTGGTCCCGCGCAGAGGTCCCAGCGTGTGCGTCCCGGGCGCCGGCTGGAGGAGCCCGGGTCGCGTGCGCGCGGGTCTTGCCTGCTTTCTCTTTCCCCTAATGTTGTTGGTTTCAATTTTTTTCTGCCTCGTTTCTCGTTCGCGTTGGGTCGGGTGCTTTCTCCTGGCGCTGAGTGTCGTCTCTGGTGCATGCGTGCGACTTGTCAGCGCGCAGGCAGGGGAAGAGGCAGGACTGGCCGTTGTGGAAAAGTGCGCTCTCTGGGCCAGGTCTGCCAGGCCGGCGTGGGGAAGACTGCGCTCCGGGCGTACTCTTCGCTGCGTCTCAACTTGAGTGCTGGTTCGCGGCAGCAGCGAAGGCGCTGAGCCCCGGGAAGCGGACGGCCTCGCTTGCCCCGAAGTTCCGCATCGTTTGCAGACAACTCTTTTGTTCGCGGAAGTTTGCATCCGCCACCCCCGGGATGCGGGCGCGCAGCCTCTGACTGCGGGGCTGCTGAACTGGCCAGTGCGGTCGCGCTAGGGGTGAGAGGGCATATTGTCCCGGGAGGGGGAAGCCTGCGGGGTGGCCACAGCCGCGTCTTACGGAGTGGGGGCGCCTTGCTGGCGTGGCTTTTGCACATGGCGAGGAGGGCCGTCCGTCACAGGCACACGGGCCGACTCACATTTTTGCCAGTCCTTGATTTACAAGCCCGTGGGAGTCGGTCGGGTCCCTGCTCGGGGTTTCTTTTGGTGGGGCGGGGACGAAGGATTCGAGGAAACTCAATCTGGGGAGGGTCGGCGGTTTGCGCAGTCCCAGGTGCCCCCCCCCCCAGCAATTCTCCAACCCCCTCCCCGCGCCGAGTTGGGGAACAATGCTCGTGGTGCCTGCTAGGGAGCTGGAGCAGTGACTAGTCGTGTGGGCTGGCTTGCTCCGGTCCCTCGCCTTCGAACTCCCTCCGATGACGGGCTTTCCCCCCTCTGCCAGGGTTTGTAACATGTACTGTATGTACTTAGTATGATGGTGAACAAAGAAAAGCTCTTTGCCGCATTTGATAAATGGGATTCTGCCTCCTATAGGCCACACTCCGAGTCTTCCATACGGTACAATCCAGACTTGGTGGTGTAGGGAAAGTGGCCCCTGCGGTGGGCTGCATTCCAGTCCGGGCTCCTGGGCAAGACGTTTGTGCTGCTGCCGCTGCGGCGCTCGCCTTGCCGGAGCTGGTGCAGATGGAACCAGGCTGACGGTTGTTCAACAAGAACAAATGTTTGTTGAATTGTTGGTTGGTGGAGAAAAGGGACTGTTTTCTATTGACTGTTGCAGGAGTTGGAATGGCATTGTTTATTGGCCTGGGAAGCCAGGCAAATGTCTTGTGCTGCTTCAACATATTAGCAGACTTCCACATGATATGCTAGCATATGTGTTCCCAGCAGTCCCAGCTGGAAGGGAGATCCTTCCTTGCTCCAGATCCTGGACTCTTGGTTAGAAAAGATGCCACTCGGTTCGAGGACTTTGGAAGGAACGGAGTCAACCCGTCCTATGAAACTTACTGTGCCTGATTGGACCAGGTTTTTGTTTCATTTTAATTTATCCGCTTAACAAACAGTAACTTCGTTTTGATACTGAATTGCAGGTCTAGTCACTTTTTTCCCCTCCATGGCCATAGACCAGAACAGAAAACAGCTACTTGTTCCAATGGACAGGGCCGTTTTAGTGGGAAGATTTGAGTCTTAAGTTCATTTCAGGATTGGTAGCTGTGACTCTGTCTGTGCTTGGGTAGGGTCACTCTAGATGCTGTCACCCATCCTGTGGACTGAGGCATTTGCCCATCCAGCCTCTAAGGCGCTATTCCATGCAAGAACTCTAAGGAGAGGCTCGGGGAAGGCCTGCATTTCTCTCCGGAATGTTTGTTCAGAGAACAAGGTGATTTTAAGACCATTTCAAGTAGTTTTCTCCAAGGAGTTATTATTTTAGACTGAGAAGGTGAGGTTGATGTGCAGTCATTTTAACATCAAAGACATTTTATGTGTGTATTTTTTTTGTTTTGTTTTTCGTTTTTGGTACCGGGGATCGAACTAGGGTCCTTGCGCTTGCGCAGCAGGCGGCGAAACCACTAAGCCAAATGCCCAGCCCCCATCAAAGCATTTTAAATAAAAGCTAATAGGGTTGGGGCCGGGGATTTAGCTCAGTGGTTTCGCCACCTGCTGCGCAAGCTCAAGCGCAAGGACCCAGGTTCGATCCCCGGTACCAAAAAAGAAGTCAGCAGTGTCATTGACGCAGAAGTACACTCGAGGGTGGTTCTAACCCTGTTGGGACATTGCTCTGCTTTTAATTGATAATGTCTTTCTTTAATCAGTTTCTCCTTTTTGTTTTCAACTGAGGGTATATTGCACTTTAGTATTTTAGAAGTTTACAAAATTCTTTTGGAAAGAGGCTTGAGATACCTTACTGTCATTATGGTGGTTACACTTAATGACATTTTGTAGGGAACCCTGGTAGTATTTCCTGGGGTCTTTCTTCATCTTTTAGTTATTCTCTTACCTGCTGTTGATTCCTTCACTGTCCTCCGGTATCCTCATTCCCCCCAGTTCTGTGAAACCTGGTGATCTGGGTGTCCTTTAAGTGGGTCCAGTGAGCAGGCGCTGGCCCCATGATGGAAGCTCAGCAAAGGACAGCCAGCTCTCCTCCCCTTCAGGAGGCTCGAGAGGAGGGAGGTTTGTTTAAATACTGGAAGCTGGCAGCAGGGGACGCTGCAGAGCAATATGATGTCTGCCGAACTCTAGAAAAGCACTGCCTTCTCAGTAACTATTCCAGCCGGCACTGTAGACAGTGCTGGTCCCACCTTCCAGTTGTTCAGTTGATGTTTTATCCAGGCAGTGTGGCTTTCTGGAATCAATCTGTACACTGTATGAAAACTTCTTGCACATATCCTTAAAAAAAGAAGACCGAAATAAGCAAATATTCAGATCAGCACCACCCCCATCATTACCACCACCATGCACACCTCTCTGATGTGTAATAAAAGAAACCTGCAGGCATAATTTGTTATGTAATATGCTGATAATACAAGTTTCTGTTTTAGATGGAAACCAGATGTAGACAGACTCTTTTTAATTGATCCAGCAAGGGGGAAGACTTATGTAGATTAACTAGTTCTTGCAGACCCTAAAGGTGGTTTGTTTTTGTTTTAACTTAAAGAGAGAATCTCAATTTCAGGACATTTTTGAGGTTTTTGCCTCTCAGCCTCTGCTTTGCTGCAGCTGTCCTTTTTGTCAGACTCCTCTCTTGAAAGAACTAGTTTGCTGCCAGCAGGAAGCACGTGGCTGGGCCTGGCTGGGCTCAGCAAAACTTACCTCTACTGGGCTCCAGTTCTCCTCATTGTCTTGTTCTGCTGCTGCCCTGTCCTCCACCTTATAAAACAAGACCTAGCTGAGGGACTTAGGTGCTGCAAGGAATGTTGGCAGTCTTCTTTGATACCTTTCTTAAACATCTGATCATGCAGGGGAGAGTTTCTGTTTATATATTTGTTGATGAAAACACTTTTCCAAAAATTACTGACTCTCCTCTGATTAGTTTGTTTATTTCATGCCTAATTTTATGAAGGTTCTTTCTACACAACTGAGTCACCATTGTTATGGCCCAGGGTTAGGGACTGCACTATAATAGCTGACCCCATTAACAGTAGTTTCATTGCATGCTGGGATGTGAACTTTGGAAACAAACCCAGAGGCTTAGATATGCTGATGTGCCCTGAGACTTGCTTAGAAAATTTTTGTTTTAGTGCAGTTTACATTAACATGATTAATGACTATGCCACTGAAAAGTCTATATTCAAAAGCAATTTACTGTTCCCTAGGGTTCTTCTTATGGTGGAGTAATATTCTGTGCCAAACAACATTATTTTTTAAGGTAACTTCTTTGATACTTAATCCAAACCTCCTGTGGACATGGTTTGGGGACAAGGTTTGGGTTTTGTAAGCTTCAGGTTGTGGTTTTGGTGGTGCCTGTCAACCTTAACAAACTCGGGTCAGAAGGAAGCTAGATTCTTGTCTAAGAAAGTTCTCTGAGATCCTGAGCAGTAGTTAGGATGGGAAGAAATCTTCCGGAGGAAACTTGGCTTCAGGGTATGTTGGAGGGGAATGCCAGGAGGCTGGAGCTAAGGACAGTCTTTTTGTTTTTGTTTTGTTGTTTTTTCCTCGAAGGGTCTGGAGATGCTTGAGTTTTTCCTTGGCCTTTTTGTTTTTGTTTTTTGTTGTTAAATGTGGGTTGATTGAGAGGGGAAATGATGATGGGTGGATCTGAAAGCAGCCTTAGGAACTGCAGAAAATAAAAACACATTTGAAGGACTCTGGAAGATTTTGCATTTCAAAGGGTCTACCTTGTAGACTTTCACATCACGTCAGGGGTTACGGAGAAGTGTGACAGGCACCCCTGCTTCTTAAACCATTCTCCCTCTCTCCTGCTGTGGGGGCTGCCTTTTGCATGGGGGATGGAGGCAGCTTGGTCAGACCACGCAGGAGCATCGTGGAAACAAGAGTACCTCCCAGGGATCTGTGAGGCTCTGGAGGGACTTGTTCCACGGGGCTGCTCTTGGGAAGATGAAAGCAAGTCGTGTTGGTAAACAGCTCATTTGACCCCAGAATGCTGTGGCAGGCCAACTCCTGACTTCTCTACTCCCTCCTTTCGTGCTCCTATTACACAGAGCAGCAGATTCATTCTCTGCCTTGGTATAATGTGGTTCTCAAGGGCTTTTCCCAAATGGATGCACACTGTTGAAAGATTCATAGCAGTACCCACTGGTCATTGAAAAATGCCCCCTGGGCTTGGGGCTTTCCGTACACTCTAATTTCTCAAAGCCAGCCTGCAGTTACAGCTAAAGAAACTGAGGTTCAGAGAGGCCAGGTAATTGGTGCAAGGTCACACAACTGGAAGGCAGAGAAGACAGTAGCACTATCCTGATTTATTTGGCTTCAGAGCCTCCTTGCTTTCCATATACCATGATATTGGTTGGGGTATTTATAAGATAGAAGCACTGGGTTCTGTTTTATCTCAAAGCATAAATTTTGTTTAGTCTTGTTAACACCACAGGGAAACTTAGAAATTTTAACTGCCTCTTCTCCCTGCCTCTCCCTTTCCTATGGCTTTTTTTGTGTGTGTGTGTGATTGAATTCTGAATTTTCTGCAGGGCTAAAGACAGTGCCAACTGGGGAGACTGAAATGTTTTGCTTCATCTTTACAAAAGACAGATTCACAAGAAAATATAATTATTCCCAGTGACCTTCTGGGGGAAACAGGAAATAAATCTGGCACTCACTAGAAGCATCACCATTCTTTTAGATTCCATTTTCTATTCAAAGAGATTATTAAAGGGTTTCTAACATGTGTGTGTGTGTGTGTGTGTGTGTTTGCGTTTGCAATTCAAATGTCTCAAATTATGTTTTGGGGTATGGCACCTCAGGTTTGTAGTTTGTACATTTTGTTTACATGCCTAATGTAATCACGCTTGTACATCTTCCAGCATGGTAGAACTTGGTACACTCCAGCC